GTGTGTGTGTGTGTGTGTGTGTGTGTGTGTGTGTGTGTGTGTGTGTGTGTGTGTGTGTGTCTGTCTCAACTCTTGTGTCGCTCTGCCTCTCTTCTCTCGCTCTCCCTATCTGCTACTACTTGGATCATAACCCTGGATACACCCGCTCTTCTTCAACTGCAACTGTAGCTATGGCGGCTATGGCCGTTTTCTCCTTCCTCGACCCTAACTGGTGAGCTGCCCAGCAGGGCCTCTGGCGCACAGTCCAAGCTGTGAGGTTGCACAAGCAACAACCAGCAGCGCTTCCGCATCTCACGCAGCACAAAAAATGTGTAAGCTCCACTGTAGCAGCTATTAATAGTTGCTTGACTTGGCCTTGGTCTGCTTCTGACTCGTACCAGTTGGCCGCGGCCTGTACCTTCCGGGCATTTCCTGGGATGCTGCTGCAAAATTGGACTTTGGGCCTGGACTTTTCTTGTAGGGTACTGGTTGGACGTTTACCGGTCTGATTCAGTACTGGCCCAACATGGCCTATGACACTTCGATTTCCTACAGATCCTACCTGGGACCTAACTACCGGGACCATCTGGGACTCGGACAATTTGGGACCGGGGAACCAGGACTCGGGTGTCGGCAGCGTGAAATCCTTTCAATAACGAAAGAAATTGATTATAATGCCGGTAAAGTACATCCAGAATGGACATCTCGCACTGCACCGCAGACACCCGCGAGTGAGAGAGAGAGAGAGTTACGGGAGGATCCCGCTGTACGACCTACCAAATGTGCTTGGTTTAAACGACCAGTGCGAGCTGCCGCCCGGGTGCCATTTCACTGGAAATTCATCCAGGCAAAACAGGCCTCGCATGCACCCCGTTTTGCCTGGCTGTATGTCCAGCGAACTGGCACCCCGGTACATCCGCCCGACGCGGCAGCATACATGCCGCGTCACTGCAAAAGTGTCTGGGAAATGTACTGGCGGTTTATGTATGCCTTTACTCATCAAGGGCTATCTATCATTCTGGTGCGAGAAAGTACGCTATACCAACGGGCCTAACTCAGTTGGTACACCAATGAGCTGTTGAATAAAGAGATTTAACTTTGAATCCCGATGGTACTAGTGGAATAGTATCTACGGTACCTGGGCCTGGTCACCTGGGCCCAATCAGTACGACACTGATATCTCAAGGCCGTCGTCCTTTAAAATAGAGGGATTATAAATAATAAAAAAAAAGTACACTGTCATAATCTTGCTTGAAGTATGGGTCCAAGACTATCATCCTGCACTTAGGGCCAATCCCCACTTGTGCTATGTTGACAACCTAGAAAGCATGACCCTGGTCTCAGTCATGGTCAGGTTCGTGCTTTCTATGCACGAACATTGGACCGGTACTTCCTGGTGCTTAGCGAGTCCACAGTTGCATATTCTTTTCAGACAAGCCGGATACAAACACCTCAAACATACAGTTGCCAGTACACAAAGGGGGAAGGCCCCACTAGTGCTATGTTAATGATCGGAAAAAAAACAAAGCATGAATCTGGCCATAATAGTGGCTAGGTCGATGTTTTCTAGCGTGAACATGGACCTAGATGACCCCTGGTAGACTTGGAGCAGGGCTCAAAGGGGTCTTCTTCAGCAAGCATTGTTTTTTTTCGAGTGACCTCCACAGTTGGGAAAGTCTCAAAGCTGCAAATTCCGCAGTGGGGCAAGGCGCAACAAAGACGAGTCTTGGGCAAGCCTGGTTTTCAGAGTGGCCTCCGTAGAGTGGCAAGTCTTGAAGACGCATGTTCCGCAGTGGGGCAAGCTGGTTTTCAAAGTGGGTTCCGCAGTGGGACAAAGGCTCAAAGACGCATCGTCCGCAGTGGGGCAAGGCTCAAAGACACACCTTCCGCAGTGGGGCAAGGCTCAAAAAGGACGCGTCTTGGCCAAGCCTGGTTTCCCAAGTGGCCTCGATAGAGGGGCAAGTTTTGAAAATGCATCCTCCGCAATGTGACAAGGCTCAAAAGGAGACGAGTCTTTGGCAACCCTGGTTCTCAAAGTGGCCTCCGCAGTGGGGCAAAGGCTCAAAGACGCATCGTCTGCAGTGGGGCAAGGCTCAAAGACACACCTTCCGCAGTGGGGCAAAGCTCAAAAAAGATCCTTCTTGGCCAAGCCTGGTTTTCAAATTGGCCTCCGCAGTGGAGTAAGGCTCAAAGACCCAACACCTGGTTTTCGGAGTGGTCCGTGCGGCCTTTCAAGGCAGCAGAGACAGCCAGAAGCAAAGCAGTGGGGCAAGGCTCAAAGACACATCTTCCATGGTGGGGCAAGGCTAAGAAAAGACACATCTTGGCCAAGCCAGGTTTTCAAAGTGGCCTTCGTAGAGGGCAAGGCTCAAAGACCCATGTTGAGAACGCTCCAAGCAGATGACTGGAGTACAAGAATTCTGAATTACCTAGGGCTGGTCAGTTTGATGATGATATCTCAAGCCCGTCGCCCTCCCAAAAAAAAAAAAAAAAAAAAAAAAAAGACGAATTGGAAACGGCTGCTCTCTTCTCTTGGTCTTAAACGTGACAAGTTCTCTAGACACACACAGGCAACAAAGCGAACATGTCCCCCTCCGAGCCTGGCCGATGATGCCACCTCGAGAGGAAACACAACAACAACACACACACACACACACATCTCTCTCTCTCTCTCTCTCTCTCTCTCTCTCTCTCTCTCTCTCTCTCTCTCTCTC